GAAGTCAGTAAAAGAGCTAATGTAAACAGTAATGCTGTTTCTTGTGTTTCTCGGTGTGGGAGACCAGCTTCCACTTTTTCCTTCCAGGGTACTCTTGAGGAGAGAGGAATAAAGGATTTAGACAGAAATATAGAGGGGGGAGAGAGAGAGAGACAGATAGAAGCACAGGATAGCCTCAGGAGGACCTGGATCATTATCCACCGGCCCCTTCTGTCTCTTCTAAAGGGCTTTTTAAAGGAATGCCAAGGGGTGAAGCAAAAGACCTCCTCCTAGCATAGCCAAGTGTAGACCCTTCCAGTCACCTAGTAACCATGTACATGGTCAAGCAATCTTCTAATGCAGCTCTGCTGGGTGAAGCAAGCTCAGATCTCACTAGGAACTTTTGTGGGCCTCCACACCTCAGGAGGCAAACGCTTGTGCTTCCTACCTGCCAGATGCCTGAACTCTCAACGACCTAAAGTCTGTCATTTGCATTAAGTAAGAAGATGTCCCTCTCCCAACTATGTGAACATAATTACTATTTACAAATCAGCTCATCTTTCCTGTTCTCTTTTGTTCTCATGGACCAAATGGTTTGCGGGCTCCTTAGAATGTTGGGTGAGACTTTGTCAGCTCTGTGGACTTTCTCTGCCCAGTGTATCTACTTTTCACAGATGTCATTCTCAGTAAACCGAGTCTGCTCCCAGCTCTGTCTCGGTGCTGCTTCCCCCAGAACACCACTGATACGTCTGTATTCAGTACAGATGCCAACACAAACCTCTTCAACTCACTCTCTTTGTGAATGAGTTTGTCTACATTAACATATCATATACCCACCTAGATTCTCCAAATATGTCCAGACCTGTCCAATCCCACTTTAGGCCCAAGTGGAAACTTTTCTCAATAAAAATTCATAGCATAGCTCTGGGTAATAAAAGAATGAATGGTAATATATAATACATTCATGAAACACTCATTTAAGAGCACAGATTCAGTGCTGGAGATGTGGTTCAGCCATTATGAGCACTTGGTACTCCTGCAGAGAACCCTGGTTAAAAGACCAGCACTCACATGTAAAACACAGCTTACAACTGTCTATAACTTTGATTCCAGGAGATCCAGAACCCTCTTCCAGCCTCCAGAGATGACAGTCATGCAAGAGGTACACATACACTTATCCAAACAAAACACTCATACACACACAAAAGAAGTCTTCTAAAAAAGAATAGAGGTTATCATGCATAATACATTTATATAACGGTAGAAAAATACTCATTTTTAAATAAATGCTATTTTTTTAATACGGGGGTGGGGCATGCCATGATGTTTGTATAGAAGTCAGAGAACAATTTTCTCCTTCACCATGGGTTACAGAGATCAAACTCAAGGACTCAAAAATCAAGTTCAAATTCAATAATCACATTCAAAAGTCATTAGGCTTTCAAGGCAAGAGCTTTTAACCACTGAGCCATCTCCTTGGCTGGAAAACTAGTTTCAAACTCACATATATCATGTAAATTAATATACATCTAAGATGCTACTCACTACAATCATGTTGGGGTTTTATGATTGTTGGCTTGCTTGCTTGTTTGCATGTATGTATGATTGTTTGACACAGTATCTCATGCAGCCCAGGGTTAACCTTGAATTCAATACATAGTCAAGGATGACCCTGAACTTCTGATCCTCCTGTCTGCAACTGTGCTAGGATTACAAGCATGCACCATTGCATTTAGTTAATGCAGTGCTGGGGACTGAACCTAGAGCTTGGTGCATGCTAGACAAGCACTCTAATAACTGAGCTACAGTAGCCCTAGTCCTCAGACTGTTATTTTAGCATTATTAAGAATTTAACTAGCTTATGGGCACAATGCTAAGCTCCAAACTAGAGTAAGAGAAATCCAAATGTGCATCTTGGATTCAGTGAGAAGCTGTGTTAGGAGATGTGGGAATTTGTCTGGAGTCAGATTACTGGTACATTTCAGGAACTTAAGCACACCTTAATAAATGATCAGACTCTAATTCCTGGATGACTTTGCTTGCCATGTGATAATTCACAATTAAATAGGTAATATTTAATTTAAACTGTTAATAGCCAAATATTGGAGAACAATGAAGTGTTTTAAAAAAAACTTCAAGCATAATAAGCATATAAAATTGGCTTATATTAATAAAGTGGTGTAAAACAGAATTTTTGACATTTGATAAATGGAGGGATTTTCAGCTTTAGAAATCTGAAAATTAATTCTACCTTCAGAAAATAAGGCATGTCTTCTCTAATGCTGGAATTGGAAATAAGATATCACTGCATCAATGGCCCTCATATTTCTGAAGATGGCCATGAGTTCTAACAGGTACGATGGCATGACTTCATTGAGGGGAACCCAGTGTCATGGGTCATCTTTGCTTCAGAGTCTGAGACTCCCTCAGATCTGTGCACTTCTTTGCCCAGACAGTTCCTATACTTTCTGTCTTTCAAAGGTATTGCTTCCTTCCAGAGTTAATAATGGAGCAGAACCAGAGCCTTCCATTCATAAGTCCTGAGCTCTCCACACCATTTCAGCATGCCAGACTCCAGAGCATCACATCTGTATTAGAGCAGACACAACCTCCTAATATTGCCTAGGGAGAGACCACCTCCCACTCATGCCCTAAAGGAATGCAGTAGAAAATAAAGAGAAGAGGGAAACAGTGGGAGCAGAGAGAAGATGAATTGTTCATGAACCTTAACCCTGGTTGGATTCTGGGAAGGATTTTAGACTATTAGAAAAAGAGAATCACTATAAATGAGTTTAGGAGGCATCTTGCTTTCTTTCAGAGTTCATGGCCAGGAAAAGCCAACAAAATTATCTCCAACGGAATTCCTGTGAAATCAGACCATCAACCCAGTGTCCATCTTCTGTCCTCCACACCCATGGTTCATGTCCGTTCACTTAAACACAGAGAATTTAGCAAATCCATGGAAAGATTGGAAGAATTAAGGGAATTTATTGAATGCTTGTTTTATCTGGAGCATAAGCAGAAGAGAAAATTTTGAGACAGTCTTCACATTTTTCCACCACTCTCCTTTTGTCCCACAAGCTCCATTTAGGCTAGTCAGGCAGCATGATCCAGCTTCCAAGCTCCCACTCAACCTGGTCCCCTTTGAATGGGGTCAGTTGATTTCCCAGGACAGTGAGAGTGCCACCATGAGGCCCAGCTGGTAGCTGATTCCTGGCTCTCCTTCTTTCTCAGAGCACTATCCACAGTGTTAAAAGGAAATCCCATCACCCTGGAACATCAAGAATGAGACCTTACAGGATCAACATCACTGTCAGCAGTGAAATGAAAAGGAGAAATTTAGGGGGAAAATGCATGTAAGAAAAAAGAAGAATAGGTCACTGGGAGCAGACCGGTTTCTGCCTCTCACCCTTTCAAATGTTCTATCTTGGACAGGAAAATGCTGGGTTACTAAATTCACTGGGATATAAAGAATGTTCTCCTCTGTGCAGCCCCCAGCGCACCGCAGGCATTAATTAAACGTTTATCAAGTGCCTGTGGTGGGTCAGGTACTGAACTATTCCTCAGATATTATTTTCTTGTGTAATGCTATCCCTGTGGAGAGTTTTGTAAAGCACTATCATTCTTATATAAAGAAAAAGTAACAAGACATAGAAATTTTTATGAAGCCAATGGAAGCTCAGGACTGGCAATTTCAAGTTACTATCCACTGTATTCTTAAAAGTCAGGTTAAGGTATGATGTGCTTATGGAAGAAAGTGGGGGGGGAAATGAGATAATCAAATCTGAATTATGACCTTTATATCTAAAACCAAAATTCAAACCTATGAAGTTACTGGTAATTTTAGGAAATCCCACTCTAGTTAGCACATGTTAATGAGGAGTTGAGAGTTCCTTCCTCAGGTCCTTTGTCTCCTTAATAAGAGAATTTAAGAACAAATTCAAATGGAAGCTTGAGGATGGTTTTATTAAAATTTAAATAAAAGTCCCAGGGGCAAGCTATAAATCTTGAGACCTGTTTACAGGGGTAAAATGGGTAAGAGGAAAAAAAAAACATGCTATTTGAGATAAACCAACATGGAGGTCAGCCACACAGCAGATAAGCAACCACAGGGCAGAGGGACTTTAAAGACAGAGGGTGGTCCAAAGTCTGGGAAAGCATGCCGAGAGAGAGAAAGGAGAAACGGAAAGATCTCACTGTTCTGAGTAATTCAAGAAAGCAGACAGATAGACAAGGCTACCTGGCTACAGACATTCCAGGGATTATACTAAGACCGGGAATTCTGGGAAGGAAAAGTACATTATCTCATCCAAGGGATAATTATTTCTCCTTCCTAGGAGTGGTCCCTTAGCCAGGTGACTGACCCAGTCCAACTGGAACGTTGGGTTTCCACCCAGGCCCAAGATTGTATGCTCTTGACCCAAAGGAAATATAATAGTTTTCCTTTATTAGACCTTTATTGCTGCTAACGTTAGATTTTTGTAAATATAAGTCACACTAACTAGTCTTTACTTGGGTTTTCTCCAAAGTCCAAAGCTAAGTAATACCACTCAAATTTATAATTACTGCCAACCAGCCTATTTTGTGGGGCATATGAGACAGTTAAGACATTTTGCCATTTTTTCACTGTTTTCTATCATTGAAATAAGAAAAAAAAACATATTGCAGATCAGAGATCAAAATGTCACTCATATGATGGATGTAACCTACGTGTGTGGCAACCATAGTCTTCCTAATACCCAATCTCAAAATTACAGTGAATCCCCAAACTTCAACCCTGTCCCACACCTACCGGCAGGTGAAGAGTTCAACCTGTTCCTACAGGAAAATGTGCATGGGCAGGCAGGAGGGGGGGGACAGGAAAGAGATGAAGAATACAAGACCAGCTTCCAGTCCCAAACTCCACAACAAGGGGGGATAAGCCTCCTTAAGAGGATGGAAAGAATGGTAATGTTAATTTTTATCCTTGTCCCTCTTTTTGGAAACATAAAATCTGGAAAGAAGATTCCACCATGCCACTATCTCTCTATCACACACACACACACACACACACACACACACACACACACACACACACACACCTTTCTCTGCATTTGCAGCAATGTTGGTCGCAGGCACCTCACTTTCTGATCATCGTGTTCCCAACAATCAGTAAGAAATAAGAAATGAAAAGACATGTCCTACTCTGGGTAAAATCAGGATTTTAAAAAGGAACCATTTCCTGGCCACTCATATTTTGTGTGTAAAATAAATGTGTAGAGATATGTAAATGATATAGAGGGGAAGAGGACAACTCTCAATGGAGAGTCAGGATTAACTACATTAATAGCCAACGGTTCTATTTACATCTCAGAAGGAAGACAAGCCACCGCTGTGGCAACTCACTATACCACAGAGGTGATTCAGTGTGTGGAGAGGAAGGAGTGAACCCCAAAGGGGACCAGGGACCATAGTAGATGCTGTGTCTGATGATACCGATGGGACTGAAAGAACACAGAAGAAAAGACAAAATTAAAAATAACTCAGCAGCCTATCCCTCGAAGCCTCACCTCTACCCTCCCCATTCTGGAAAATTAGGTTCAGGCCTAGGGTGACTAGTGAGCACAAGCTGGAGGAGCCCCCACAGTGAAAACAGTCAGCTCCCCACAGCTCTGTAAGATTCAGGTCTAAGGGTTAACTTAGGAGATTTGCAACCACGGTTGGCAAGTTCTGTCCCTGCCGACTATCCAGATTTCATGATAAAATATCGGCCACATCAAATATTTTGTTTCTCGAGTCTTAGCTACTTAGCAATAAAATCCAGATACACAATTTTCCAGCTCTGATTGACCCCTACATGGCTATTACAGAAACACTCAGCACATCCCCAAATGATCACCACAGATACCTACATCACTCTCCAATAGGCATCTCAGTTGCTTTGTATCAGAGGCTGGCAAAGAATTCCCAGGTTTTGGCCAGCTCTCTTGCTACACAGGCTGTTACTAGAAATGAGGCACAAGACGCTGCTAGAGGTTGGTAGGGCAGGTTGCAGGGCAGGGTGAAGAACAAACCAAAGGAAGCTCCTGGCTGTGTGGTTCACACTCCCTAGAAGCTCAGCAGTAGCAGTACCTGTCCAAATCTTAGCCACTTAGAAGGATTCTTCCAATTGACACCGTTTCCAAGCCACTGATCTCCATAGGGCTGCCCCTACTCAGACACCTCACCCCCACACCACAGGCTTGAACCAGGACTAAAGGCTCCAGACCCATTCAGAGCAGACACCCCGGATCCCAGCCAATCCTTGCCTTCCCTTCTCCTACCGTCAGAATTAACCCTGGGAATAAATGGTGGTTCCGTAGATGGTTTTGAAAGTCGGACTGTGAAAAATCTAGAAACTGCTCTAAAATCAACATGCTAACCTGGGTGTTTGTTGTTTTCTGGCAAAGCATACAAAGCTTCCATGGGAGTCTCAAAGCTCGAGATCTTCTGTGTAAGTGATCTCATCACTGTCATAGTAATTACAACAAGCCTGTACAGTTACTTCATTTCTACTATAATTTCTAACAATAAGGAATGGAATTTTCAGAAATATCTTTTATGGCTTTGGGGGAGGAGTATGCATGTGTACACATGTATATATGTACAGAGAAGGATATGCATGTATAGATATGTATATATGTTCAGAGGAGGGTATGCATGTGTAGATATGTATGTATGTTCAGAAAAGGGTATGCCTGTGTAGACATGTATGTATGTACAGAGGATATGCATGTGTAGATATGTATGTATGTACAGAGGAGGGTATGCATGTGTAGACATGTATATATGTTCAGAGGAGGGTATGCATGTGTAGACAAGTATATATGTTTAGAGGAGGGTATGCATGTGTAGACATACATGCATGTTCAGAAAAGGGTATGCATGTGTAGACAAGTATATATGTTCAGAGGAGGGTATGCATGTGTAGACATGTATATATGTACTGAAGAGGGTATGCATGTGAAGACATATATATATATATACATATATATATATATATATATAGAGAGAGAGAGAGAGAGAGGATACCACCCTCTGTACATATGTATGTATACTTGCATGTGTGGACATGTACATGTGTACAAAGGATGTTATACATGTGTAGACATGTATATATGTACTGAAGAGGGTATGCATGTGCAGACATATATATGTACATATGTATGCACACATGCATGTGTGGTAGGCATGTGTGGACATGTACATATGTGCAAAGGATGTTATACATATGTAGACATGTATATATGTAGAGGAGGGTATGCATGTGTAGACATGTATATATTACTGAGGAGGGTATGCATGTGTAGACATGTATATATGTACTGAGGAGGTACACATGTGCAGACATGTATATATGTACAGAGGATACCGTCCTCTGTACACATGTATGTACACAAGCATGTGTAGACATGTATATATGTGCAAGGGCTCCTCTAACATTCTCTGTTCTATTTCCATGAGAGAGAATCTCACTGAACCTCGCCATTTCTTGGCCAAGCTGGAAGCCAGTGAGCCCTAATCATTCCCGTCTTGTCCCCTGCCCCATGCCCCCCTGCTCAGCTCTACGGTAACTGTCATGGGTGGTCACGCCAAGCTTTTTGAGGGTGTGCTGAACGCAGGTCTTCATGCCTGAACAGCAAATACTCTTTTTACCTACTGAGCCATATCTCCAGCCTCTATTCCAACAGTATGATTTTTTTTAATTGCTACCAAAATGTCAAAACATAAAGTTCAATGGAGACTTATTTATTATAAAATGTCCAGGAGTTTCAGTGAGTTCAGTATGGTTGGACTACACATCATGACTGAGAAGCTTGCGCACTTCATTAGAATGAGTTGTGATTAAGTGTTAACACAAGTTACTGGGCACGCCTTTAATCCCAGCACTCTGGAGGCAGAGCCAGGAGGATCTCTGTGAATTCGAGGCCAGCCTGGTCTATAGAGCAAGATCCAGGACAGGCACCAAAACAACACAGAGAAACCCTGTCTCAGAAAAAAAAAAAACAAAAAACAAAACAAAACAAAAAACAAAAACAAAATAAAACAAAAAAAAGGACAAGTAACAATGAGAACCATAGCTATCGAAACCCAAACGTGAAGCTGAAAAATTATTGAAATATATTCTTAATAGAACTGCCTTGTTGGTCTACATTTCTGTTATTTGATACTAAAAATACTTCAAGGCCATCAGTAAGCAATTCAAATTTCCAAGAAGAGATGGACCCCCCCAAAATAAATATTCTCAATCTTAGAATTAGGCATCTGCAAATACTTTTTTCTATATTCTAGTTGACTTTTGGCATACTAGAAGCATCTGCAGTAGCAATACACATTTTCAAGAAAGGATATTTCAATAAATATTTAAAACCGTGAATAAATACTTCCTCTCTTGGATCTCAGCTGTAAAAACCTAGGATGAAAACTAAGGGCAGGGAGAGGAACAGCCTCCACTTTATTATTGCCTTTGGGTGTTGCTTATTTTGTATGTAATCAGAGTAAGGAGAAAGAATACATTTAGAAAGTTAAATAGTTCTTTGTTATCTAAACCCATGCAGAAGCAAGAATGCAGGTAGCTTGAAACAAAGAAAGGAAACTATTCTAATACCAAACTATTGAAGAAAAACGCTGCATAAACAACATGCTGCTAATTCCTAGTTCTTAAAGAAGAGGCAAGGTATGAGTTTAAAAATTAAATGCAATACACATTTTAAAGTTGATCCTTATGAGTCTCCTCCATGTCTGTCCATGCGTTAGGGCTGCTCACAGTAGTGATGAAATACAATGGAAAATAATATGCCCAGAACAGAGAGTATACGAATAGCAGGGGAAAAAAACCTAGGGTCTAGTGATAAATACTTATTTAGTTCACAGAGATACTGGTACCAATCCCTTTGGAAATAAAATGCCATAATAATAGCTATTTTTCCAGGTAGGAAGGTTCAAGGGGAAAAAAACACCACAACATTTCACATTGTAATCTTTCAAATTTTAGAATATGAAAGAAGATGGATTTTGTAGTCCAACATACTATAAAACGTAATAAATGAAAACTCATCACAGTTTCTCCTTAAAATTAAGAGAACATGCCCAGATAATGAGCTCCACCTTATTTATAACTAAGACAAGGAAAGTTGTCTAATCCCTCTACTTTATGATTTCTGGGTTTGTTTACAGTCTCCTAAGTGATTACGACTTGTTCTGTGCCTTTCTTCTTTTTTGATGCGGTGCAATCAAGAAGCGAGAGAGAAAGGTGACACTGTGCTGCATTCATCAAATAATGTTTTTGCCCAAAAAGTCTGCCAAATGATCAAAACCCAGGGAAACCGACGTGTTTAACTAGATGGGCGCACTGTATTTGCCCACCAGTTCCACTGACGGGGAAGTGAGTGGTTAAGCCAAACACAGCTCTTTCGTTTTTCTCGCCCCCTTTCCAGCCATTTATTTTTATGACTGCATCAATTCCGCACATCAGGACTTAGAAAGCACTGCCAGAAGAGTGTCAATCATAATAAGATAAAGGGAGCAGAGGTGTAAAGGTAATATTTGAAAATGGAAGCCCAGAGATGAAGTTGAGAATTACAGAAACCAGGCAACCTCATATAATATTACCAGGGAAATTCAAGCACAACAGAAGAATGGGAGAATGGTGATGGGGGGTGGGGGAGGATTGCATAAAAATACCAATATGGCCGAGAGTCCGGAACTAAATGGTGAGCAGAATGTTGAAATGAAGTAGAGAGGACTAGTTTTAGATTTGGAGTTCATAATACACGATGGCATAAAGAGATAAGTACTTGAATACCTAAGCAGAGGACAAACGAATTCCCCTGCAATCCTACAGGAAGAATACACTGATTGCTTGTGCTTCTCTGGAGGCCTTAATGTGCTGTGTAGGGGGAGTATACTACATACCTTAGCCACCTCTAGAGTCCGTATCATTAACCTCAGCCCTGGTACCCTCATTACTGACTCTGCTTCTTACCTATGTCATAGTTGTTTCCAGACACATAATTACCAGCATCTCCCCAGTCCCCGTTTACCTCTTCTGCCACTTAACTGCTTCTGGCCTTTGGGGAAGCAATTAATGAATCCCTGTGCTGAAATCGTTAAATGACATTGGAGGGACCGAGAAAAGTTATTCCTTTTATAGGGCCAGCCACGTATTTCCTACCACCCATGGATATTGAGCTAGGGAAAGACCCCGTGGATTCTTTCACAATCACCCACAGGTATATTCATTCACTCACTGGATAAAGACTTTTAAGTACCATATTGGGCAGTTTCGCATCACTTCAACTAAATACCTAGCATACACAATATAAGGGAAAAAAGATTTATCTGGACTCATGTTTTCAAAGATTTCAACATAAAAGATGAGCTGGATACATGGGTTTCGACCTGAGATCAAACAGAATATCATGGCAGTGTCTGGGGGAGGAGGCTGCTAGCCTCGTGCCATTGAAAAAGCAGAAAGAGAGGAAGAGACCTCCAATCAGATGATGCCTCCCTTCAGCTCCCGCCCTCGACTGTTTCCACCACCTCCCAATAATCCATTTATTAACCTATTTATGGAGCCAGGAAAGATGGCTCAGCAGCAGCCGGGCGGTGGTGGCGCACGCCTTTAATCTCAGCACTTGGGAGGCAGAGGCAGGTGGATCTCTGTGAGTTCAAGGCCAGCCTGGTCTCCAAAGAGAGTTCCAGGAAAGGTACAAAACTACACAGAGAAACCCTGTCTCGAAAGATGGTTCAGCAGCAACAGCACTTGCTGCTCTTCCATAGGACCCAGGTTCAGTTCCCAGTACCCGCATGATGTCTCACGGCCTTCAAAACCTCCAGTTCCAACAGACCCAATACTCTCTTCTGGCCTCCCATAGCTGTTGTATGCACATGGTTCACGTGAACTCTGAAAACACATGCACATGGGAATGAATAAATAAATAATTTAAAATAATAAAATAAAACCAACTATTTGATGGTTTCATCCACTGATTAGATCAGAGTCCTCATAATCCTGCCACTTTTCATAATTCCGTGAAATGCCAACCAAGCCTTTAACACATGAGTCATTTTATGATGACATTTCACATCCAAAGCACTACAAGCAGAAACCATATGCTGGGTTTTGTGATACCAAGGCACCGGAGGGTTGAAAGCATCATTAGGGGCTTCACTATTTAATTATTGAGGGGACTGTCCAGCAATAACAATCTAATATGTAAATCCATGACAGGTGAATACTCAGCCAGTTAGGAGGTCTGGAAAGACAAGAGAATCTGAACAGGAAGGAAACAAAAGTGTCATAGAGAGCTGGATATTCATAGAGGATATGCAGAAGTTTGCCAGGGTAATAAATAGACGTAGAACATTCCAGAAAGAGTCCATACAATTTTAGTACTATTGAGAAAGAAAACTATCATTGCCAATTGTGTGTGCATGCATCTGTATATCTATCTGTGGTTGAGACTGAACCAGAGGCCTAGTGTGTGCTAAGTAAGTGTGCTACCATTGACCCTCATTCTCAACCTTCACTCTCAAGTATCATGTGAAGGACAGTTACACTTCTACCTTTCCACTAAATGTGTTCACCATAGTAGGTTCCTAGGATTTCATGGTACTGCCAGTGACATTTATTTCACTGTGTGGCACTCTGGCCAGGTTGCTTTACCAGTTTTGCTGGATTCCAACACTTCCTTCTATGAGCTGTGTATCAATCGGCTGACCTACAAACTACATCTCTGCTTTCCCTGATTTCTTTCCTAGTATCTGTATTTTTCATAGCTGAAATGAAAAAAAAAAAGCAGAAGATGATTTCACCTTCAGACCATTCATAAATTCTTGGCTTATGTAAAACATCAGATTTAAGCTCCTTGGTTAATGTTCTAATTCCCAAGGGTTAGCTACTCTGATCATTTGAAAGAACTTCCTGGTGGAGGGAGCAGGTTCTTGTAAATCTGGCCACATAATTTCACAGGCAAAATAAAAGCGCCAATAAATTCTCCTAGTTGTAACCACTAAGGCTGTGTTAGTAATAGATTACTATAGGTGTACCATGAAGTCTCCCAGTAGTGCCCAGTTGCCAGTAAAAGCCATTAACTATCCCATTCCCACTTACATGTGTGCACATGAAAAAGAAGGTTAATTAGAGTGAATATATTTTATATACACAATCTTGACTCTGTCATAATTAAGTCTTAACCATTATACCCATATACACCAGTGTCTGGGAATAAATATTATTTATTATTAGAAACGTCTCTCTGGAGGTTATCTCATACCATCTGCCTGACCGTGTTCAGGCAAGAGGCCCTGCATATGAGGAGGCAAGCTGCTGGTTGGTCCACCTGCTGAGGTCCTTATTACCAAAGCATCCCATCCACTTGCTGCAGTGAGTGACGGTCACCCACTCTCTGTCTTGGACATATTGAAAGAGAGAATAAAAGGCAAAACTGGGAAACTGAAGGAGTTATCTGAGCTGAAGCCTCAAATCCTTGACCATTTTTCTCCTTCCATTTGGAGGAAAGAAAGTGAGAAGACTCTAAGAGAGGAGGGGGCAAAGGTCACCCTTTCATCGCACACTTGAACTTCCCAATCTATAAAATAGATACGATTATTATCCCTTTTTACACACCTAACGAGGAAGGCAGTCACTTGTCTGCGAGCGTAGTTAGCAATGGGATGGATCCGATGGGATTCCAACCGTTCTGGCTCCAAACACCATTCCTGTGAAAACCAGACTCTTATCAAGCACTTTTGCTTAGAAAGCTTCCCAACTAGGCTCAACCCTACTTCCTTCTGAAATGCCTGTGTATCCCTGGTGGGAATCCTGAGAAAGGAAGTCAGGTCAGCTCGGATCTGTTTTCCACTCACTTGTTGACCACTCCAACTTCACCAAGTCCTCACAGTCAGGACCTCCTGAGATGACCCTCCACTGTCTACAAGACCCAAATCTGGGCTCCCTTCGGTAACACTAATGAGTATCAACCACAGCTAGACATGTCTGTCTGAAACCTGCGAGATTAATGTCTCAAAAAGCGATTAGAATCCACGGATATTTTTTGTTAAAAAATCTGATACCTTGCCGGGCGGTGGTGGCACACGCCTTTAATCCCAGCACTCGGGAGGCAGAGCCAGGCGGATCTCTGTGAGTTCAAGGCCAGCCTGGGCTACCATGTGAGTTCCAGGAAAGGCGCAAAGCTACACAGAGAAACCCTGTCTCGAAAAACCAAAAAAAAAAAAAAAAAAATCTGATACCTCTTCAATGTTCTACCACCAACTTAGCTCATTTTTACTTATGAGTTAGAACTAATTCAGCTTCTAAAATCTTGACAAATTTCTACTTCCAACATCTTTGGTAAATAAAATATCTGGATAGAGCTTTAGTGTTCTCATATTGTTAAGTAAATAAAATCTTAATAAAAAGTAGTTTTGCTTATACTGTGATTTTTTTTTTTTAAAAAAAAGTCTATCTTCTCCTAAGTTGTGTCAAATATGTATGTTTTTATCATGACTGTGTGGCAGTAGAGATCAAACACTTGATCTCCAGAACTGGAATGCAAAGATGTGAAGTCTGACTGCCCTTTTTTTTTTTAGCTGTATCACCATGGGGATAACTTCCCTGAACTTCACATAAATAGGTAATGTTTGTAACCATCTGCTATGATTGGTATTGTCAGCTTGATAGGATCTAGACTCACCTAGAACACAACCCTTCAGGCATGTCTGGAAGTTTCTAGATTGGAATGCTGGAAGTAGGAAAACCCACCCTAAATGTGGGTGGGACCATCCCTTGGGCTGCAGCCCTGTATGGAATAAAAAGCAGAAAGCCAGCTAAGCACCATGTTTTTATCTCTCTGCTTTCTAAGCACTGGTGCAATCGGGCCAACTGCCTCATACATCTGTGGCCATGCCTTCCTTTCCCACCGTGGTGACCTGACCGTCAAACTCTGAGTCGAAATAATCCGGCACTAAGTCCATTTTGTCGAGTGTTTTGTGACAGAAACAAGTAATACATGTTCTGTGTCTGGGAGACACTGAGTGAGTCTTGGCTGATACTTGGAGGAGTAATTGCTATAAGCAAGCATTCTAATTTGAGAATTCCTGAAATGTGTAAGTGCATTATCTACAAACCTCCTCCAAACATATTCAATATTAATAATATTAAATTTGACAATTAATGAATTTGATAATATATTATAATTCAGAGACATCTACTCAAGCATTTATTGCTTTGGCATTTCAGCTTTCATTTAGTATTCGGAGACCACAGTTTGTTTGTTTTCCTCTCTGGTCTCAGATGTTTGTATTGGCCCAAGAAATCTTCACTGGCCCTGCCACTGCTCCTGTGGAAGCCGATGGAGAGAACGGCTTTGGCCAAAGTAAATAGGACCATTCTGACCCTAATCTTTCTGGCTTCAGTCCCCGTGCCCATCATAGCCTGTTTGCTGGAGAACGTTTTATTTTCCCAGCAAGAGTCTGGAAAGGTAACTAGCCATTTTAGAAAGAGCCAAGCAGCAATTCAGAAATACAGAGTGAGGCAAAACCCCAGGTACAGTCAGTGAGCCAAAATTCTTACATCACTTTTGGCTAAGTTCAGAATTTATACCAAAACCTGTGCCAAGACCGACCCTAAAATTTGGCACAAATGGGCGAAATAGTGATTTCGGAGCAGGTTGTAACTGACGTTACTATTTTTAATCCCCTCAAACAGGATTGCTTCTTGAGAGACGTATAGGTGTTGGATAACATGTCATTTTGATTCCAAAAATGTTCAAGTCGTATATGTTCAAGGAATAAAAATGTTACCTCCATGAATCAGATGGACAAAGTATTATTTAGTATTCTGAAAGAGTCAGGTTTCCAAGACTGCTTTTACCCTCAGTGGTAACAGTTCTCCAAGTGTGGCAGATGGTGAACCTTGAGAGTAGAGATGTTTTAAAATAACACCAAGGCACCACTCACCTTTGTGACTTGTACTTTGAAAATGCATTTCAAATGCAGTGGTGAATTAAGCTGGTTGTCCCTCAGGACATACCAAGGCTGTAAAATCAGAAAGGACCAATAATGAATGTATTCCGTACCACCACCCAAGGAAAGAGGGGTAGGGGAGGAAAAAACAATTTCACTCAAAAAATGTTCTTGGTGAAGCAGGAAAAAAAACTTACTAACTCTCAACCCTTTATATTATGCACAACGTGGAAGTAAAGATGCAGTGTTCCACTGCTTCCCAAAGTCTGACGATTGTCTAGAGAAAATTCTGAGTTACAGACCAAACTAGCCCTTTTTTTCTCAGGAAATGCCATTTTTATCTGAACATATGACTGGCAACAAATTATGGTATACATAGTTAGGGGCATTTGGTAATCCGTTTTTTACTAAAAAGGGATATGAGAAACCTACTGCTTCAAAGAAAAGAGCAAACTTGTTTTAAATTTTAAGCGTTTAAGCTAAAATTACAATTTGGGAAGATTTGCATTTACCACAATATTTCACAATCCCAAAGGGCTTTCTTAGTGAAACTGGAAGTGGCATTAATGAATGTGTGTGTGTGTGTGTGTGTGTGTGTGTGTGTGTGTGTGTGTGTGTGTGTGTTGCATGTGTGAATAAGAGAGAGAGGAGTATATGCACACAAGCAGAAGCAAGAAGAAGACACTGTCTCCTTTATCCTCTATAACTCTCTGTTTATTCCGTGGAGACAGGGTCTCTCACTGTGCTGAAATTTCCATGTTTAAGCTAGGCTGGCTGGCTGCCAAGCTCTCAGGGTCTACCTGTCTCTCTGCTCCTTCAGCCTGGAGTTACCACATGATCACATCTGGCTTTTTGACATAGGTGCTGGGGAATCGAACTCAGGTTCCCATGGTTGTCCTCAAGGTTACACAGAAAGCACTCTTATCCACTAAGACATCTACCAAGCCCAAGACATTTTGACATTGTATAATAAAACCAATCAATACCTGTAAGATCTGCACAATTCAATTAACTATCTTCCCCTTGACCAATGCTGGTTATCAGACATCCACTGAAGACCAAAGATAAGCCAATGAATTTTAATGTAATATGAAATTCACTGATGTGGTCAAAGATTATACATGGTAAACAACTTCTTAAATAATTGCCATTTGTCGAATTTTAGTGGGATAAGCAAGAATAATACTGCCAATTATCTAAAAAGACTTAAAATTTTCTTCAAATGACAGATCCCTACAAGGCCACACTTTCTTCCTTCATTTCAACCAAAATACATCTCACAAATGTAGAAACATATGTATAAGAATGTAAATGTCTTTTGTTAATCCGGGAATTTTATTTAATTAATTTGTTTTGGTTCATTTTTGTGGGTGGGTAGGAGGTTGTTTGTTTAGTCCTGGCTGTCCCAGGACATGTAGATTGTAGGCTTGCCACAAACTCACAGAGATTCTCTTGCCTCTGCCTCCTGAGTGCATGCCACCATGTCAGGCCTGCAGTAGAATTAGGGATAAGGCAGTCAGATGTTTGTTTCGAATTCCCAGAGGCCTGGGTTTGATTCCCAGTATCACAAAAATTAGGTAGTGACTAGTCTTAGCACTTGGTAGGTGGCAGCAGGAAGATCAGAAGGTCAAGTCATCCTCAGCTACACAGTATGAGACCAGATTGGGACACATGAGACCCTGTCTTAAAAAGGAAAAATATATATATAATTATATAATTTATATTACATGTAGCGAGTTTTTATTTAAACTAAGGAAGATCTTAAGACTTCTTTTGTTGATTTATAATATGGAATGCAAGTAAGTGTAACTCACCTAAACACAAGCTCTGTAGTCCTCTATCATTTTTACAAGTGAAAAAAAATCCATCCTGTGACAAAAAATATTGATAACCTGCTGCGCTATGCTCACCTGTGTTCTAGGCCAGTGGCCATTGTGACATCAGCATCCCCTGAGGACCACTGGAAGGATCACATGACATGAGCTGTGAATTCACAGAGCTCTGCAGTTAGGCTGCCTTGGAAGAGGTAAACCACCTAACCCTGCCTGTTGCTGCCTCTGATGGTCTCCATGGGATATTCAATGATGTGACCAGGAAAGAGCTCCAACAAATAGGAAGAAATCGTTTCTTCCCTTGACTCCTGCCATGCTTCCCTTCGCTTTGTGTCTTGTATCTCAGTGAAAGAAAACAAAAATGTACCGATTTCACACCAAAAGAGTAAGAGCTGCTGCTGGACGTGTGTGGGTTTCGAATCTCCACAAGATCAGGCGATCGCTTAAAAACGTTTACCAGAAATGTAAGACCCAGCACTCATACTCAACTAGCTACCCAACCGTGGCTTCTTATGACTGTGACCAGGATGCTCTCAGTTTGGATGAAGAAAGGAATCTAACAGCCACGCTACAAGACATTAAATCGGGACAAATGGAACTCCTCAGCCAAATGGCTGACATTGTCAGCGCAATATCAGATATCCAGGAAAAGATTGGCCATTGCCAGAAACAGATGGAAGTCCTGGAAGTCAGAATAAATACCAGTGAAGACAGACAAATCGCAGCCACCAAAGACATCCTCTCCATGAGAGAGGACATCGACACTCTGAAGAAGAAGGTGACAGGGCTGGAGAACCAGAATTCTTTCTCCAGCATACACTGCCTAGAGGTTCTGGAGGAGCAAGTCAGTAAAGAATTTGTACAGCTGTTCCATAAGCTCCTACAACTAGAACCCCCAAAGAACACACACCCTAAAATCTCTTCAGCAGAATCAGAGAGGGTGCCTCGTTATCCAGAGCCCACTGGTCAGATTAAGGAAAAAACAATGTCTTCTCAAACTAAAACTCCACAGAAAAGTAACAACCTCCGGAATGCATCCGCAATTTGTAAAAAGGCAAGGTCAAATATTTATCTTTACCCTGACTTCAGTACATGGATCAAGCTCACTTTTGTTCATGGAGGAAAATGGAGGTTTTTCCTCAGTGCCACCAAGTTAGAGGAATTCGTCCAGTGGCTTCTGTCTAGGCCAACCATCCTTCCCGAGGAACCACAAATCACGCCCCAGAGAGACTGTGCCTTCACTGGACCCATTGCGAACTTGGCCACAATCTGTCTCTCCCTTTTCAACTGTATTTACTCTCTTTTTTCTTCCTCAAAACAGGAAGTAACTCGTCTTTAGAGTTATTTCCTGTTTGGCTTGGTATGAAATAAATGTAGCCCATTGGCTTCAAATAGTCATATGTGTTTGTGCTGTCTGTGAACTCTAGTTTGCTGGCTGTGTGTGCCCACCGTCTATGAAGATTCTACACAACTACTGTTAAACTGTATCATCTCATTGGACTATTGTGATCCATTTTCCACCAATGTTCTTGTCCTCTCCAAAGCAGCTCGTGAAGACTCACTTTGTGTCTGCTTTCATAAATAATTAGAAGCAAGAATGGAAGGGTCCAAAAAATGTGAAATATTTGGGAGCCTCCACATCAATACTAGTGGCTTTGACTGATAAAATATGTTATACAAGACAAAAATATGAACAACATAAAGGAAAAAAAATACCCGTTGTCAAAACCACTAAAGATAGGAAAATATTGGGGCTGGAGAGATGGCTCAGACATTAAAAACATTTGCTTTTCTTAAAAAGGACCTAGGGTTGGTTCCCAACACACATTAAGCCACTCACAACCACTTGTAACTCTAGTTCCAGGAGATCTGATGCCCACTTCTGGCCTCTGTGAGCATCTGCATGTACATGGTATACATCGATAAACTCAGGCACATATATACATATTTAAAAAATCATTTAAAATATATGTCAATGAAAGGCCAAGTTATGGCAAGGAAAGTATTAATTACCACAATGTTTTTTTTTTCTTTAACTTCAGCTGCATCTCTACTTGTCAGTTAGATGTGGGAGGAAAGGCCAAACACAGTGCGGCAATTTTTTTACATTTCCTTGAAAGGAGACAAATACTATGTCCTGCACATTTGCTGCAGAGGAAAAGGTAAGAACTGAAGAGATATCTGTGAACTAAGTAATACTCATCGCTATGACTATAGACCTTTACCTGGAAAGGTATGTCTCCAAATGAGAGTATTTGATGGCAAACTTCATTTTTAGATGTCATAGATTCTTGACACTATAATGTAGTTTTTCTAAATATCACACAGAACAATGTTTAAAAATGTATCCCTCATCCAATGGATGAGCGAGAGTAGAGATACTACAGGCGAGGAAAATTGAGATCATGATGGGAGGACGTGCAGAGATGACCGGCCACACTAGTGGAAGCCCATGAACTGTGGTCTGGTGGCTGTGGAGCCCCCATGGGACTAGACTAGGCCCTCTGGATATGGAAGAAGGTTGTTTGGCTCGAACTGTTTGGGGGGCACCCAGGCAGGGGGATCGGGACCCGTCCCTGGTCTATGGGCAGGCTTCTGGAACCCGGTGCCTGTGGTGTGATACCTTGCACAGCCTTGGTGCAGTGGGAAGGGGCTTGGACCTGCCTAGGCTCAGTATGCTGACTCCCCATGGGAGAACTCGGTTTGGGGAATGTAGGGATGTGGGGTGGCTTGGGAAAGAAGGCTGGGGGTGGAAGGAGGGAGGAGGGGGGAATCTGTGGATAGTATGTGGAGTGAGTAGAAAATTACTTAATAAAGAAAAATGAAAGAAAAAAACAATAAAATAAAATAAAAATGTCTCCCTCACTTCTTAACCCAGTGAAGGAATCGTCTTCCCTATTGTGACCATGTTATCAAGCTGAAAATATTCTCCATCTATGTACTAATTTTAATTATCCCCAGTTAGCAGTTTGAAAAAGGAGAATAAGCAAGCTTCACAGAGAGAAAAGTGCTACTTGAAGCATAGCAAAAACTTGAAGAGTAATAGGGTAAACACAATTTAGTCTCGTAGCAATTAGACACCAGTGTTTTTCATTTGTGAATCCAGTTTATTTGGTCCTTCTTTACAGATTTCCAGATATGTATGTACACAATAGCCTTCAACACATTGCTTTTAAAATATGTCCATGTGCAGTACACTTAATAAAATCCAGAGTCTATCTTAAATGGGTCAGCTTTAGCGATTTCTGTGTACTATTGGCCAATAACAAAAAAATGTGTGCAAGGAGCAGCCAGATCCCTAGTTCAGCACACTGGGTATCCAGACATGAAGAAGGTGGCCATGGCACATGACAACATAAATGACCTCTGCAAAAGAAAAGAGTCACTGAGTATATGTGGGGTATTTGGAGATTCTGTGTGTCAGAGCACACGTCATTCTCCACGTCTCTGACAGTTTAAGATTTTGCAAGAGACTGCTTGCTGCGGTGAAAAAAAATGCACATGTAGAGAATCACAGGGTGTGTGTTCTGAACCTAAATTCTAAGTCTAACACTTCGAAGTTGTGATCAGGTTTGTTCTGCCTTTTGTAAAAAGAGAATTACATTAATCTGATAGACTCTCCCCCCCAAACAAGAGATCATGGAGTATAAGAGAGAAAGCAAAGGACATTCTCTACACTTTATACACACAGCACTAAGCAGAAGGGATAAAGTGTGTACACAAGCAATTTTCACGTGTGACAGATGGGGACGGTCAGCAGAGAACAATCGGAAGAGGACTCCCAGTATCAGAGGCAAGAGAGCACTGAGGAGGCTAGTCACAAGGCAGGGAGAAGCAGGCAATGGAGCAGACAGAAGGACAAACAACCACAGGCATTGGAGCGAGGCTGATGGGGAACATGAGAAATAAGAGCCAACAAGCACTGCGTATATTCAAAGTACAGACAGGCTACCATGTTCTTTCAAACCTTTCATGGACCTCATTCTCTCCTGAGGGGCTCTTTCTCACGATGCTTACATTATTAACCTGTGTGTTATCTACACACAAATGCTGGATATAGTGGCACAATCCCATAATCATAACATTTAGGAAGCTGAGGCAGGGGGATCATAAGCTCATTCAACAAAAGCCTAGATGGAATACGCCTTCCTATGGAAAAAGGTGGAGGAGGATAGACCGAATTAAGGTGACTGCATGATTTTCTCAAGGCTTCAAGAGATGTTTCTGTTCATTCCGGTGAATCTAGGTTCCTCTAAGAAAGTGTTTCTTAACCTGCGGGTCGGGATCCCTTTGCGGGTCGGGATCTCTTTGCGGGTCATTTATCAGATATCCTGTATATCAGATATTTACATTATGATTCTTAACAGTAGCAAAATTACAGTTATGAAGTAGCAATGAAATAATTTTATGGTAGGGTATCACCACAAAGGGTCACAGCATTAGGAAGGTTGAGAATCACTGCTCTAAGGAAAGCGGAGATTTTGCTTTCTGACAAGATCTCATGTGACTGGCTAAGATTATAACCAAGCTCCTAGGTACATGTGAGCAAATTACCTGTTTCTCGGGTTTGAACCCACATACTTCTCACTTGCTCACTTCCACCCTTCGGAGCTCAGAGAAAAGGCTGATCTTGTCTACATTCCTCCTCCAGCGGCTCACAGCGTCTTATCAGTTACTCTCCTTTCTTCTATTTTTTCACATGGTGTTGTAGTCTGTGTGTCGGTGTGTACGTGCCGTGGAGCGTGTACGGCGCCTGCGCGGAGCTCAGGGGACAGCTGTGAGCGTTGGTTCTCTACCGCTACGGTTTGTGCTCTGGGTCATTAGGCTGCGGGGCAAGCGCTTTGACCTGGTGAGCTGCTGTCTTGCCGTCCCTACTCCCCTGTCTGTCTTGTCAGTTTTCAGTCTTCTTAACCCTACTTAGGATAATATTCACCCGGCTGCTGTCTCTGTTTCCTCCTTCCTCTGCTCTTCTCTCACAGTCCTTCATGAATGGGAGGCCCGGACTCGTGTTTCTACCTCCTCCCTCCCCTCCCCACAAGCTGTGCTTCATAAGAAGCTTCTCTTTGGCTTCTTCCTATTGCTCTTGCAGATCCTTCTTGGTTTTCTTAGCTGATCCTTCCAGTCCCAAGTACTCCTCTAAAATATGGATACGAAACAGCTTAAATGAAAGAACCCATGCTCCAGAATCTCTTGAGACCTTCTGAGCTCTTGGCTGAAGTGACCACATATCTTCTTTAAATAGCTGTGAAAAAAAAGCGAACTATAAATATAATCAGACAAATATATATACATATACATATACATATACAACCTCAGATATGAAACCCATGTGCTTTCACCAAAACATCTCAGACCCTTGTTGCTGTAAATTAAGCACGTTTGTTGGGGAAGCAGCCTGTGATAGGGTAAAGAATGAGGAATTGGAGAGAACAGGCTTTAGAACAGTTGCTCCCAGAATGGATAAGCGGAACTGGCCACTGTGCCCACGGTTGTGTGTGTGGTGGTGATGCTTGTGACCATATGATCATAACAATTTCCTTTAAGCCTGGCATTCTTCAGTTTTCTCAATTCTAAATTAAGAGCAAGTTGTGTCTTGAGATTGTTGCATTAATTGAGTAGGATCACATGTTCTGTGTGCCCGTAAGTGCCTGATTTAGCAGATATTCAATAAAGGGTAGTCATTTCCTTCCCTCTTTAACCAGATGGAAGGGTGTTAACAAGGGTCACAAAGATGAATGGGACGGAGACCTTGCCTCAAAGAGCTCCCTGCAGGACTCTGCCTCCTTTTATCAGCCATAGAAGACTCTAGACAAATAATAAACAAAGTGACAGGCTAAATACAAAAGCTTCAAACCAATTCTTGACTCCCTTATCCAAAGATAGTGTGATAAGAATAAGACAGGGTGTGAATCTCTCCTCCTGATCTGGGCACCCAACCAATATTCCATCATCTGCAATAGTCGTTCGCCAACCTTTAATTGCACTCTATATAAATAAGCAACAAAGGAAAGAACTTGGAAGGAAGAAAGAAGACCGAGTTTAATATAAATAATTTAGTTCAGTTAGGAATATTTGCTTCGATAGGCATATTCACCAAGAGCACGCTGTTCATTTAAAACAAGATTCGTCAACTTTTATTGAAATCTGACACTGTGCCAGAAGCCAGTAGAGCTAGGTGTGAAAAGATACAGATAAGACAATAGTCATATTCTGAAGAAACATACTTTTAAATGGTGTTCTTTCTACCTGCCAATTATGTTGACTGTTTGGATTTAGATTGAAAACAATTCACTAACCTCATGCAAAAGTTGATTTTTTTTTTTTCATGGAACACAAGTTGGGTTCCTGTTGGGGGAAGGAGGGGAGACACGGTTATTCCTCAAAACAATAGCTTAAACTGCTTCAATATTATTTTATGCTTCTCCAAAAATGTGAATGGTGGCCAACATATTAATGGTTTATGCTGTGAAACATCAATTGTAGGGTTTACAACTCAGAAAGTACATCATGAATATATGATATTAGTTGGACTTTAGCTCCATTGTAAAAATAACGTGCCTGAGATAATGATATTAACAAAACTGCAAAGACAAGACTCTATGTATTCCCATGCCAACATATATTCACAACAACAATGGCAAGAGCAGCAGTCCTGACAGCTGAGTCGGGACTCCCAGCCTCTTTACCGTACATCTGACGGTGGAGTAGAAAGTCTACAGGTTGTAGGCACGAATAGATGACTTGGAAGTTAGGGAACAAATGACAAGAACTAAGTTTGAGCTAGGTCGGGAACTCTAGAAATGAGGATCTGAAGTGGGGGAACTCTTGGGAGACTAAGGAGACAAGGTTTCTTTGGCCACTGAGAGTGTCTGGAGACTAAGGGCTGATATGGGACCAAGTGCCCCAGGGTGTTAAAGGACCACAGTCTTGAGACACTTCCAGGTCTGGTGATGCATGCCTGTATTCTCAGCACTCCAGAACCAGGAGTTCCAGGCTGCCCTTAGCAATACAGCAAGTTTAAGACCAGCCTTAACTATATGAGGCCCTCTTCAAAAAACCAAAACACAAATTAAAAAAGTCTGAAAAATGAGAGAATATGTATATGAAGCATATAATATATATAGAGAGTGTGTGTGTGTTGTGTATGTATGTGTTGTGTGGTGTGGTGTGTGTGTGTGTGTATGTGTGTGTGTGTAGTACACATATTTGTGCATGGATGTGTAAAAGCCAAAGGACAGTATTGTCATTCCTTAGGAGCTGATCACCTTGTTTGTTCAGACAGGGTCTCTCACCAGCTTACCAAGTGGACTAGGTGGCCTAGCTGATAAGCTTCAGGAATCTGACTACCTGGCTGTGCATGTTCCCAGTGCTGGGATTCCAAGCACTGGTCACCACCCCTGGGTTTTTGCTTTGTTTGTTGTTTTGGTTTGGGTGGGATTTTTTTTTTTGTTCTGTTTTGGGTGAGTGGTTGTTCCTTTTGTAATGTGGGATTTGAAAATTGGACTCCGTTTCCATGCTTACAAGGCCAGGGACTTTACCAAGAAGTTTTCTCCTAGTCCCCAAAAGTTCTACGTTTTGCTCTCTCATTTATCCTTTGGAATGAAATCTTGTGTTAATAATATTTCTGTTGCTGTGACAAAACACCCCTGGCAATCAACTTATAAGGAGTGGTTTGAGCTGATGAGATGGCTCAGCGGGTAAAGGCATTTGCCACCAAGTCTGACAACCTGAGCTTGATACCTGGGACCCACACAGTGGAAGGAGAGAACCAACTCTAACCTATATGAGTGAACTGTGGCATACAAATAATTGTGGCTTAAAAGTTTTAAAGAGAGAGGCAGAGAATCATTTGGGCTGATAATTGAAGAGGTTCCAGTCCATGTTACTTGGCCCCATTACTTCTGGGCCTGTGGTGGTGCACCTGGTGGAGTGTGGGTAAGAAGAGAACCACTGGGTGATAACCAAGAAGCAAAAACTGGAGAGGACAGGACAGGTGCCAACATCATCTTCAAGGCGGCATCGCTCCAATGACCTGCTTGCTTGTGTTAGATTCTACCCCTTAAATTTTACCCCCATACAGGAGTTCAAGGCAGAAACTTGAAGCAGAAACGAAGGAGAAACACTGCTTACTGGCTTACTCCTTCTGGCTTGCTCAGCTACATATTTTTTAGACAGTCCAGGCTTGCCTGCCTACAGTATGGTACTGCCCACAGTGGGTTGGGCCCTCCTGCATCGATTAACAATTAGGTAAATGCCTCACAGACCAGTCTGATCTGGAAAATCTGATCTGGACAATTTGTCAGTCGAGGCTCCCTTTTCCTCCAGTGACTCTGTATCTGTGTTACATTGACAGTTGAAGCTATGACACGCTATGACACACATTGTGGTGGCTTGAATAAGAATGGACCCCATAGGTTCATATGTTTGAATACTTAGTCACCAGGGAGTGACTATTTGAAAGGATTAGAAGGATTAGAGCTGTGGCCACGTTGAAGAAGGTGTGTCACTGAGGGTGGGCTTTGAGGTTTCAAAAGCCCATGCTAGGCCCAGTTCTCTCTCTCTCTCTCTCTCTCTCTCTCTCTCTCTCTCTCTCTCTCTCCCTCTCCCTCTCCCTCTCCCTCTCCCT